GTCTCGACTGGAGCTTTCTTACTTGTTTTTTTTTAAGTTTCCCGTGATTCTTACATAAACTATATACCATTTGGGCATAATTTTATAAATCGCTGTAAGAAAATTTATTTAATTAAAATTCGAGTGATTATTGAATGATTAAAATCTCAAAAGAGTCAAACACAAAAGTTCTGGATCGTATCGACTGTATATACACATACATATATAATTATAATTTTTTATTATTAATTCTACGACAAATTGATGTATTCCATGAATTTCATCTCTCTTATATTCAGCAAAAATGATATACATGTAAATAGGGTTTGTAATCAACATATTATTTTATTTAAACAAATGCCGAATCTGAGATATGCAAAAATAAATGATTTCTCCAGCTCTGTAATTCTTAGTTTTTGTAGTTTAAATATTGTATTAAGTGTATATGTATCAATTATATCGCTTTATGATCTGTATTGCTGTAATTTGTATAAAATCTATTCAAATCTTGAGTTTTATAATTTATACCCTATAAAAATGTGATATATTGTTGTGTTAGTAGTGGACTCACCTCCTTGATCATCAAGGGCTACAAGTGTACGTATTCCTGCCTCCTTGCTCTGGTGTGCAGCAAAATGTAAATAGTTTGTAGAAGTGTATAGATAAGTGTTAGTATTGTATAAGTATATATATTAATAATAGTTTCTATCTTGGAATTAGTATTTATAGTTCAGTTCAATAAGTATACTTAAATAATGTAATTGAAAAAAAAAAATGTATGGCGCAAAACGCGGAATAGCGAAAGTTTTCAGTTTTAAACAAGTGGAGCACATAATCAAAAAGACGGATACATCTACCCACGTGACCCGTCAACACGCATTTTATTTGTCTTAAACTTTTACAGCTATAAGGTTAACACGTAAGAACCTTGCAGTCGGGCATTACCAACTCAAGAATACTCATTCACATCTTTTCAGTAATTTAGTAGCTAATACAGTAAAAAATGCAGTTTTTTCCGCCTCTACATGGCGTAGACACCTGGGTAAGTTCTTAGAACGATCAAACGCTTAAATAATGTGGAAATTACAGGATATTTTTTGATATTCCACGCCCGCGGCATAGCTTGTCTTAGGTGGTTGGCCCGAATATATATACCAAATTTCAGGTCTCTAGTATCAATACTGCAAAAACAAGTAAGAAAGCTCTAGTCGATATTGCTCGACTACGAGATCCCCTGAACCCTTGAGCAATAGCTATTTCAATCATTTTTTGCGTCACGCACACAAACAAACACATAAACACACAAGCACCCATGCATACACACGCATGGGTTGCAGTGTGCGTGGGTG